GACTTTATTCCCGTTATATTACGACTTTATTCCCGTTATATTACGACTTTATTCTCATAATATTACGACTTTATTCTCGTAATTTTACGACTTTATTCTCGTTATATTATGACTTTATTCTCAAAATAAAAAATAAATCTCTAACCTGGCCCTAATACTCCATCGTAAAAAAAAAAGGGGACTTCAATTAGTTCAACACCGATACCGGTATTGGGAGGGGCCCTGATCCAGCACTAAAATGGTGGTATCAGTATCAGCGAGTACCAACAAATAGGGCACTGATATCATTTTGAGAGCCAAAAGTTTCTTGGCTCTCAAAACTATTGTCACCCATTCCAAGTAGGAAATAAAAAGTTCTCTGGATTCACTTTATATTAGTCTTTTTCCTGCTTCACAAAGGTAGGCAGCAGCTTGACAAAGCTATGATGGCAATTATCTTACATCCTAGTATGCAGTTCTTCACATATACACATGGGTTTCTTTTATACTCAACAGCTCCACCTAGTGGTAAAATCTTCAGTTTAGTTCTGCTAGCAAATGTAAAATAAACACCAAAAAAAAAAAATAATAATAATCCTAAACCAGAGCCATCATTTATTCAGAAAGCCTTCATCTCCAACCAGGGGAGCTTCTGTCGTGGAGCTTCTTTAAATTCCCCCAGGAGGGATCATGTGTCAAATAAGGAAACTAGCTTTAAAAGGTACCTACCCCCCATAAGTTTTTTAAAAACTCCTGAAAAATGTTTCCTGGAAATGAATCCCTCTGACCAAGCTGGACCCGCTGAGCTGTAACCCATCAGATCTCTGACCCGATTCTTCTCGTCCCATTTAGCGAGCCAAGCCAGGGATCTGCTATCCAAAATGCTGGTAATAGACGCTTCCAAGCGGATCTCTGTGGACGAGGCTCTGCAGCACCCCTACATTAACGTGTGGTACGATCCCACTGAAGTGGAAGCAGTGAGTACTTTTTAAAATCGTTTATTCCAAGTCAATCATTGCATTTAAATAAGGATTTTAAAACTCTTTCTGTAGCTTCTCAGACTTTTCACATCTTGTCTTTTCTTCCTGAATGTCAGAACAAATGTTTGTGCTAAAAAAAAAAAAAGTTAATGCTTTGAATTTACGCGTCAAACAGCAGAACTTTCTTCAGAAACACAAAGACTCGGCTGGCAGCAAATTGCTGCTTTCATCCGTCTGCTTTGGGTCATGAAAAGATTCCTCAGAACTCAGCATCCAGCTTTGACGGGTGCGTTCATCCCCACGCTGTGGTGTGACGCCTCATTATCGCCTCACTCCTGAGGACAAGGATTCATTTCTGCCAAACTCTAACATGGAGGTTGCTGTTGTGATCAGATCAACGCCTAGCTACATTAAGCTGAAAGCTGCTTGTTTTGAGCACATCAGATTTCTGGGTCTTCTGTTTTCCTCTAAACATTTCCAGTTCCTTCCAAACCACCTTCTGTTTACCACCTAACTCCATAAATAACAATCTAAGAGGAAAGCTTTGCAGGATTGGCACCTGCAGGCTGGAGCCGAGGACTGCAGTTGGATCCTAGTCAGTAATTTATGACTTTAGACTCGTCCTGTTTTAAACAGGGCTTAAAAAAAAAACGTTATATTTAACCTAGAATCTAAAGTTTGACCCAGGAACAGTAAACAAAGGGTAAAAAACTAAACACACAAGCAGAGAATCACATGGAGTGTTTTACGACTTGAACTGACTTGAGCTAACTTGATCTCACCAACAAACGCAAAGTTCCTCTGGTTTCGTCATGTTTTGGATTTAAACAACAAGCAAACACTGTTGTTTTAAACATTAAATTTCAGTTCAGGGTTAAACGTGTGAGCGATCTGCGGTTGCTTTGGTCCAACGTTTTAGTCCCTGCCAGTAATGGCTGCAGCATGCCCCCTCCGCCGCTGTATATTGACCTGAGGAATCATTTAAAATAACTCATTGGTCACAAAATCTGCAGTGTAGCTTTAAAAAAAAGTTTTTGAGTTTATTAATTTGATTAATTAATAAAAAAACTGTCCATTAAAAACTATTTTTGCTTATTGAATTTTTCTTATTGAATAAATAAACATAAATACAGAAGAAAATTAACAAATCTTTAGGTTAGAAACCACAGATATTTTGTTAAACTTCTTGAACACCTACCTCCATAAAGTTGTGAACAGAACATGAACTTTAACTACAGTCAGATCTTTCCACTGAATATCAGACACAAACAGTAATGCCTTCTACAGTTTAACATTTGCTATAATTTCTTAAACAGAGAACAGATCTATGATGGTAGAGCTGCCAGGCCTTTTACGGCGTCTGCCTTCATGTTGGAAGCAGAAGTTGAACTTTTAGTTTGAACACAGTGGACCAACACTTGTTCAAGAAATGGTGAATACAAAGGTTTTTTGGGGACTTTTTTAAGTATAAAAAATGCAATTGTTTTTATTTTTTACATATTAAAACCGAAATCTAAATGGTGAGGCTTAAACGTAAAGCGGTTAAAACTTGTTTGTGTTGAGCTTCAGTTGAAACCTGTGAAATAATCCAAAGTGAAAGTGGCTTCCTGCAACTGAAGAGATGCTAGACGAACTGTGGCTAACGCTAATACTAACGCTATGTTCACATAAACAAGTCACATTGGAGACATGAACAGGAGAGAAAATCAGCTCTTTTTATTTAAATTTTTCAGCTAAAAAAGATTAAACATAATTTAAAGGCGGTTTCAGAAGGAACTGACTTTAATGTTGGTTTGGGGCTTGAGGATAAACTGTGGCGGTTTCTCAATTCACAAGAACGTGATTACGGACCCGTGTCCTCGCCAAGTACGTTCTTGAGAAGAACACAGGAAAGTGTGGACTCGGTAAGAACGGGAGAACACAGCATAAATATGGGTCAATTGGAACAGAAGCGTATTAATGACATCACCACACGCTCAGCTCATCTGGAGCTGCATTTCACCCCGTTATTAATGGTCTCTAGATAATAATACATTATTACTTATTTTCATTTAGTGGAGGAATAACAATGAACACAGACAGATAAACACAGATCAAATGAACATATCTAAATAAAACAATCCAACCTCGATCAGAGTGAGTGATACTTCACACGGTGGCCCTGGCCGCCGCAGACGGGCTAACACTGGCCCTGGCCGCCGCAGACGGGCTAACGCTGGCCTGGCCGCCGCAGACGGGCTAACGCTGGCCCTGGCTGATTTTACCCTCAAAGCTCCACTGGTTGCCGTGGTCCTCAACTTCTGAACATTTTTTTTTTATTATTAAGCATTAAATCAGTAAATGGTCCATATAGTGACACTTAGACGTATAATGTTCTTGCCTCAAATTATCTTAAAACTTACTTTTAGTGAATAACAGAAACAGAAAAGATAACTTTTAACTTAATACTCTGAGCTCTGTGAGCGCTAACCTGGAAGCTGCTGCTGCCGCAGTGCATGCTGAGACAGCTGTCGGTGTCAAGAACACACAAGTCTGCTCTGATGCATGCTGGGTAAAGAGGAAGGGGCGAGAACAACATCCAGGGACTTTGTCCGTTCTCGGTCTGCTGTTAAGAAGTGGAACAGTACTAGGGCTGAGGCTGATGACGTTTCACGAATACATGAGAACGCACAAGTACACTGATTGAAAAATGGCCACTGATTTGGTTTAACGTCTGCTACATGCTAACTGTGGAGCTTTGGTAGGCCGCTGGCTTCAGTGAACTATTTCAGAAGGCTGAATTTATTCCTTTAAACAATACGCAATTTGTGTTGACCAATAAACCATGAATATATGCAATAAATGTGGTAGTTGTAAAGGAACAACATGTGGAAGAAATAAACTGCTAAGGAAGCAGCAATGCTTGAATTCCTTAGAGATCCAGATCCCAAACAGAGGCAGAAATCAGATGTGGTGTTCCCCAAGGGTCCATCTTAGGGCCCTCCTATCAAAATCTCAGACTTAAGGGTCACCACCAGGAGGGAGCAGATGACACAGACATCCAGAGGATCGTTTACAGCCGCTAATCCTGTGGTTTGTTGTTGACTGAAACCTAAAACCTTGTTTGTGTCTGTTTTACAGCCGCCGCCTGCGATCACAGACAAGCAGCTGGATGAGCGAGAGCACACGGTGGAGGAGTGGAAAGGTAGAGCAGAGCCTTCATCACAGAATACAAAATACAGCTATGGGGGGAAATTTGATACAGTGTTGTTGAAAGCAAAGAACACATTTCAAAATAAGGAATTCTGAAGAAAAACTGTTTCAAAAATGAAATTTGAAAACTTGAGGTTATTTATCATGTTTATGCAAAACTTAAACCAATACTAGCAGGTCCTTTTAGTTAGCAGGTTCTCTTAGTTAGCAGGTTCTCTTAGTTGGCAGGTTCTCTTAGTTAGCAGGTTCTCTTAGTTGGTAGGTTCTCTAAGTTGGTAGGTTCTCGTAGTTGGCAGGTTCTCTCTGTTAGATGGTTATCTCTGTTAGCAGGTCCTTTTAGTTAGCAGGTTATCTCTGTTAGCAGGTCCTTTTAGTTAGCAGGTCCTTTTAGTTAGCAGGTCCTTTTAGTTAGCAGGTCCTTTTAGTTAGCAGGTTCTCTCTGTTAGCAGGTCCTTTTAGTTAGCAGGTCCTTTTAGTTAGCAGGTCCTTTTAGTTAGCAGGTCCTTTTAGTTAGCAGGTCCTTTTA